GGGTGGACTGACAACTCATGGGGCCCCTGTGTCCTTGTCCAAATTCAAAAAAAGCCTATGAAAAAGGTAACAGGGGCATCTCATGGGGCCCCTTACTGACCCCGGCCCTCAGGCAGTGCCCGAGTTTCCAAATGGTCAGTCCGCCTCTGTTCATGACTTTTGTCCTCAAGAAAGTTTTGGTTTCTCCCACCCAACTCTGGGTGTTCTAGACGCTCCTGAGCTACATTCTCTATAATATAGATTAGTAAATTGGAGATTTCACCAATAGCGTTCTGAAAGATATTACAAATTGCCAAGAAGGTGGTTTAAGTATAAAAAATCTACCAAAAACGGAAAAATAGATTTTGGAATCATTCCTCTTTTATGAACAGAATGTTACATGTGGAAAAGCCTTTTTTTTCAGATGCCTTGCATGAATTTCTTCTTTGGTTTTTAACACTCCACTGGCCATGGTGCACACAGCAGCAGAACTGGATCATTATAGAGTGAAGCCTGAATGAGGAATGGAGCTTCCCTGTGAATTATATCAGACTAGCACTAAACATAGAAGCTGGTGTTCCTGTGACCTGATCAACTATGTCTTACTTTTCTGTGAAGAAAATCTTTGAAGTAGACCTGAACTTAGAAAGTGAAGATTTTCTATATTAAAAGGAACTACTATACATTTAGATTTAGCATTCATTGGATAACTTAATAAATTTTACTGCACGCTTTCGAGGCACACTGGTCTCTTTTTCAGGCAGAAGAAGGAACCATCATGCCTCGAAAGCTTGCAATATAATCTTTTTTAGGGGGTGTATGTAGACAGGTGCGGTTTTGTTTCTTCACTGCAGGTGGTGCTTGACAGAGAGGAAGCCATGAGAAACTTGGTTTCTTTATAGTTTCTTTGGTCCCCAGGAGCAGTATTCTGGTAGGCTACACTGCATGCAGGTGACCCTGGCAGCCATCTTTGGTCAAGCAGAGTTTTTTAACCCCCCTGGCGGGGGTTTCAGTACCACAAGCGGTAACCCCGAGCTACACTCGGGCTTACCATGCGGCGCTGCTCCGCGATCCCTCGATCACTTACCTTGTCCTGCGCTCCCGCAATGTCCCTCCTGCAGTGTCCCCGGCAATGTAATCCGGCGGATGCCGGCATCTGTCTTCTGGGTTCCGTCCCCTGCGAGCATCGGGACGTATGGGGGACGGAACGGCGGGAAATTTGAAAATCACAAAAAGTGACATTCACTAAAATCACTAAAATCACATAGTATAACATTCCTGTATCAAACCATTTCACATACATTTTGTCCCGAGTGCTGCTTTGTCCTGCGCCCTGCCTGCATTATTACTGTTCTTTCTGCCTGGAAACTGAGAAACGTCCATGGCGTCCAAAAAGCGTCCCTTTAGGTCAAAATGGGTTTTAGTCCGGCTAGAGAACAGCGATAGTGAGTCAGAACCACTTGCAGAATTGAGTGATAATGATTCGTGGGGGAAATTCCTCATCAGACACTGAAAACGATTCTGCAACTTTGCTCAGCGATGTGCGAACTTGGCGCTCTACTTCAAATTTCAGTGTTTTTGGTTTGATTATATTATTGAATTAAATTTATTATTATATTATTATTTTTATGATTATTTATATATTATAATTTATGATTTAGTGTTTCAAGTTTTATCATATCCGGGATGTTTACTAGACTCTTGTTCGGACAGATTTCAGTGAGTTATTCCTAAAAATTACAGCCTACAATAAAAAAAAATACATATTTCCATGCAAAAAAAATGTACCGCTTTGAGCACAGAAATATGGACATAATCAGACCGCTAGGGAGGTTAAGTGCCTGTCCCCAGGTTTTGGTGAGCATTTGTAAGGTGGCTATAGTAGGGAGATGTACCCCATCTGTCAGGGATAGCACCAGACGTAGGGAGAGGTTCCAGAGGAGTAGGGAAAGCATAGGGCCTATGTCTACACTTCCACAAGCTTCCGCTTGGGTCAGAACAGCCACCCCGCACTCCACCTCCCTTGCCAGATGCTGTCTTTAGCTTGGGCCTCGTACTGCTCCTCTCTACTGCACTGACTGTGAGTTCCTAGACAGGCATTCTCCATGCCAGGTTGCTGTAACTGTTTTGCAAGTTCTTCAATACATTAGTTTCTCACCATGCTGCACGTAGCCCACATGCACTCACAATCATTCCAGTTTAACTGAACCATGCCTGAGTAACAGTTTTCCACCTCCCCATCCCCTGCAGATCTGCGGTCACACTGTACTGTAAGGCAATGTTCCTGGGATCACTTACAAGTGTTCCTGGGCACACTTCCCTGCAAACCAGACCAGCAATACCTGTTTCATACACAGTTCTGTATGCAGAGAAGGGTGCTCCCCCTTCATCAGGGCTCAACACAGGATAAAACATGGATGGACTTAAAGATTTATATTAGAGCCAATAATGAGCTCCATTGCTGCTTAGCAACTGCTGTCAGTTTGTTCCTCCATGAAGAAGGTTCAATACTGGTTCTAATGTAAGTCTATGAAGTCACTGGTTGATCCTTGATGAAGGGCTCCCAAAACACGTTGACTGTTTTTATGACTTTTTAAGTCAACAATTAAAATTATCTTGGACTTTATTTAATTTGGCTCTGGGGTTTCTTTCTGTACTTCTATGGTGTGAGCTGCAGTTGGGTGCATATTGAGGGAAGCCTTGCTGTGTGGGCAATCTCCTCACTAGAGCTATTGAGCTTGTTTGAAGTTTTCCTTGTTTTGACTACACTTGCAGGTCGAAAAGTTCCCAATGCCTCTTTGAGTATGATGTTCTGGAGTATACACCTTAAAAAGTGACATTTATTCTCAAATCTTATTAGGGGTATCTCTCTTGACTGAATACCTAAAGCTACGACATCAATTTGTTTTGGACCCAAAATGGACTTTTAAGGTGCCCCAGAAGAAAGCCACACAAATACCATTTTTTTTTAAAAAAATGGTATTTGTGTGGCCTTCTGCCGGGGAACCTTAAAAGGCCATTTTAGGTCCAAAACATTTCGATGTCTTAGTATTATGATATGGTGCCCCCATTAAGGGGCTCAGGACCTCCCAGATTTTTTTCTATTTTTGTCTGCACACCTAAAGCTCACAGTCATTTTCTTTTGTTGCTTTATCCTAAAAGTCTAGCTGTTCCAAGCATGTATGTTTCTGAAAAGATTTTTCAGAACATCATGCTCAGAATATGCCAGCATTACCCATAAACCTCCATGGCTAGATTCATGTTTGCAATAAAGTTTAGCCTAGGGGTGTTTTAAGACAACTCTTGTCAGCTGTCCAACTACAAAACCAAGTGAAGAAGCAGTGTGTTTTTCATCAAGAAAATGGCACAATGATTTTTATTTTGGAACGCCTGTCAACAGAGAAACATGTAGGACCTAGACTATGAAAACCAGGTTGGTGATAATGGTGATGGCCAAGCAAGCACATGTATTGCCACACATTTGCAAACACTGCCCAAAAGGTTTGTGCCAAAGTCCAACACACATTGCAGAAGCTGAATCTGCTCATTCTCAGCTCTTTCACCTTGGCCAAGCATTGTTTCATAATGTAAGGTAATATATCTTGTATACAGCTCTCTGACAACGGGGCATAGCCAACAGAACAGTTTGCTTGACAGACCTGTGTTAACACTGGAGGCCCAAGACAAAACAGGCAGGAAGAACCAAACCTTTCTCCAGAAGCAACAATGGCAACCTGGCAATGATGTGAGTAGATGAATAATTAGCTCACACTGAAACTGTATTTCAGTTGCAAGCAATACAGTGTTGTTGCTAAAAGATCCAAAAGGCAATTGCAGCAATATTCTTAAATACATATACATACATGCACTGTTACCAAAAAGTTAGATTTTGGTAAGCTTGTTTACAGAAAAAAAAGTATGAACGTGAATCTGCTGTTTATTTTACTGCCTCTATAGCAATGTACAAAGACTAATTATTGATGATAATAAAGTACAACAACCCATTAAAAACTATATAAGAAAAACATTGCTACTGTAATTGCAAAGGACATTTTTTTAAATGTGTGAGGGTGTCAAGAGGAGGTAGGGTTCATGCCTATAGTTGCCTTGTAATAAAAAGTTAAAAAAACAAAAACAAAAAACAAACAAGAGATCCCTGTGCTCAAATCCCTACAGCTAGTGCATGCATTTATCCATCAGGTGCTAAAGGGGTGTAACCCATATTAACACTAGAAATTCTGAAGGACCCTCTGCACACTGGTATATACCCTTTCAAGCAGACTATGCAATAAATAGGGATATTTAGTGCCTGTCTAGGAACTCACAGTCAGTGCAGTAGAGAGGAGCAGTACGAGGCCCAAGCTAAAGACAGCATCTGGCAAGGGAGTGGAGTGCGGGGTGGCTGCTCTGACCCAAGCGGAAGCTTGTGAAAGTGTAGACATAGGCCCTATGCTACTCCTCTGGAACCTCTCCCTACGTCTGGTGCTATCCCTGACAGATGGGGTACATCTCCCTATTATAGCCACCTTACAAATGCTCACCAAAACCTGGGGACAGGCACTTAACTTCCCTAGCGGTCTGATTATGACCATATTTCTGTGCTCAAAGCGGTACATTTTTTTGCATGGAAATATGTATTTTTTTTATTGTAGGCTGTAATTTTTAGGAATAACTCACTGAAATCTGTCCGAACAAGAGTCTGATAAAACTTGAAACACGAAATCATAAAATATAATATATAATAAATAATCATAAAAATAATAATATAATGATAAATTTAATTCAATAATATAATCAAACCAAAAACACTGAAATGTGAAATATAGCGCCAAGTTCGCACATCACTGAGCAAAGTCGCAGAATCGTTTTCAGTGTCTGATGACGAATTTCCCCCACGAATCATTATCACTCAATTCTGCAAGTGGTTCTGATTTACTATCACTGTTCTCTAGCCGGTCTAAAACCGCTTTTGACCTAAAGGGACACTTTTTGGACACCATGGACGTTTCTCAGTTTCCAGGCAGAAAGAACAGTAAAAATGCAGGCAGGGCGCCGTACAAAGCACTCGGGACAAAATGTATGTGAAATGGTTTGATACAGGAATGTTATACTATGTGATTTTAGCAATTTTAGTGAATGTCACTTTTTGTCATTTTCAAATTTCCCGCCGTTCCGTCCCCCGTACGTCCCGATGCTCGCAGGGGACGGAACCCAGATGACAGATGCCGGCATCCGCCGGATTACATTGCCGGGGACACTGCAGGAGGGACATCGCGGGAGAGCACAGGACAAGGTAAGTGATCGAGGGATCGCGGAGCAGCGCCGCATGGTAAGCCCGAGTGTAGCTCGGGGTTACCGCTTGTGGTACTGAAACCCCTGCCAGGGGAGTTAAAAAAACTCTGCTTGACCAAAGATGGCTGCCAGGGTCACCTGCATGCAGTGTAGCCTACCAGAATAGTGCTCCTGGGGACCAAGGAAACTATAAAGAAACCAAGTTTCTCATGACTTCCTCTCTGTCAAGCACCACCTGCAGTGAAGAAAGAAAACTGCACCTGTCTACATACACCCTAAAAAAGATTATAGTGCAAGCTTTCGAGGCATGATGGTTCCTTCTTCTGCCTGAAAAAGAGAGTGTGCCTCGAAAGCGTGCAGTAAAATTTATTAAGTTATCCAATGAAAGGTAAATTTAAATGTATAGTAGTTCCTTTTAATATAGAAAATCTTCACTTTCTAAGTTCAGGTCTACTTCAAAGATTTTCTTCAAAGAAAAGTAAGACATAGTTGATCAGGTCACAGGAACACCAGCTTCTATGTTTAGTGCTAGTCTGATATAATTCACAGGGAAGCTCCATTCCTCATTCAGGCTTCACTCTATAATGATCCAGCTCTGCTGCTGTGTGCACCATGGCCAGTGGAGTGTTAAAAACCAAAGAAGAAACTCATGCAAGGCATCTAAAAAAAAGGCTTTTCCGTATGTAACATTCTGTTCTTAAAAGAGGAACGATTCCAAAATCTATTTTTTCCGTTTTTGGTAGATTCTTTATACTTAAACCACCTTCTTGGCAATTTGTAATATCTTTCAGAATGCTATTGGTGAAATCTCCAATTTACAAATCTATATTATAGAGAATGTAGCTCAGGAGCGCCTAGAACTCACAGAGTTGGGTGGGAGAAACCAAAACTTTCTTGAGGACAAGAGTCAGGAATTACATCAGAAAAATGTCCCTGATGAAGTAATGAAGGCACTTAGGAAGCCAGAGATTGACTCAGCACACTTTGCTCAACTTGAAACGAATTCATTTTTATGCAAATTGGCGTTTTAAAGAAGGAAACCAAGACTGGAGTTCCCTTTCAGTGAAATGTGGGTAAACTCAGGTCTAACAATAGGTAAAACAGTCAAAATGACTTATGGGGCTGGAGGAACCAAGGGCTCCCTCAGACTCTCCTTCACTATGGTGTTCTTTCATCCCTGAACTGGACAGCATACATCACTGGTTGTTACAAAGCTTTTTAAGCTAAGAGCCAGATTACTGCTTTGTAACATACATTAAAGTGTTACTAAACCCATAACAGAACAGTAAAATCAGTCTGTATATGCAGTAAAACATGCTTGTTGTACTTACTGTGGAATCTAAGGGGTTAATCCTCTGCATTATGTAAAAACGCTGTTTGATCCTGTCTTCTCTGATCCTCTTCTTCTTCTTGCAGTGTCCCCTTCTTATCTAAAGTAAGCATTCTTACTTTACAGCATGGCTTCACACCTGCCTGTAACGTTTGCACAGTACTGTACATTTATCATCCAGAGGGGACTGTTTTTTTCCTCAACAAAAATGGAGTTACCATTTAAGGCCTTAACCAAAGATTGTTCTACAAAAATACAGGTATTTACCGTAGTTATTAATTAATCAGTTATTTGAAAAATAGAATGCTAAGAGTAGCTCTGAGAAAAAAAAAAGTTTGATACTCTGACTTAAAACTACAATATTAATAGAAGGCACAAAGAAAACACTTAGCGGGCAACTCCATTTTCTTGGGAAAATAATATCGCATATACAATTTCTACACAAGCCATATTGTTAATGTTATTAAAAATTACTTTTCCTTGTCAGTTTGCAGCTGTTGTAATTTTCAGAAATCATGGCAATCTGGAGGTGTTCTGTACACAGTTTTTATATAGAACACCTCCACAGTTTTTTAAGGAACTTGGTAGGTAGGTTGTTCTAATCATCTTGGAGAGCTAACCACAGATCTTCTGTGGATGTAGGCTGCCTCAAATTCCTCTGTCTCTTCATGTAATTCCAGACAGATTCCATGATGTTAAGATCAGGGCTCTATGGGGATCAAAGCATCACTTCTAGGACTGCTTGTTCTTCTTCACGCTGAAGATAGTTCTGAATGACATTTGCTGTATGTTTGGGGTCATTGTTCTTCTGCAGAATAAATTTGGGGCCAATCACATGCCTCCCTGATGTTATGGCATAATGGATAAGTATCTGCCTGTGTTTCTCAGCATCGAGGACACCATTGATCCTGACCAAATTGCCAACTCCATTTGCACAACCCCAAACTTGAAAGGAACCTACACCATGCCTCACTGTTGCCTGCAGATACCCATTATTGCACAGCTCTCCAGCCTTTTGGCAAACTTCCTCTTGCTACAGCCAAATATTTCAAATTTTGACTCATCAGTCCAGAGCACCTGCTGCCATTGTTCTGTACCCCAGTTCCTATGTTTTTGTGTATAGATGAGTCATTTAGCCTTGTTTCCATTTCAGAGGTATTGCTTTTTGGCCATAGTTCTTCTATGAAGACAAATTCTGGCCAGACTTCTCTGGACAGTAGATGGGTATACCTGGGTTCTGCTGGTATCCACCACTTCTGTGTTGATGGCAGTGCTGCTGGACATCATCCAGTGTTGAAGGGAAGTAAGCATGATGTGTCTTTCATCTGCTGCATTACGTTTCCTTGGCTAGCCACGGCGTCTATGGTCTGCAAAGTTGCCCGTTTCTTTGTGCTTCATGAATTGAATTGATGCTGGTTTGAAGCCAAAGGATAGTCACACCAAATATTGATTTGATTTAGATTTTTCTTCTCTTCACTCAGTTTTTATTTTGTAAATTGTTGAAAATAAAAAAATAAAATATATCTTTTTGAAAGCATTCTTACTTTACAGCATGGCTTCACACCTGCCTGTAACTTTTGCACAGTACTGTACATTTATCATCCAGAGGGGACTGCTTTTTTTCCTCAACAAAAATGGAGTTACCATTTAAGGCCTTAACCAAAGATTGTTCTACAAAAATACAGTTATTTACCGTAGTTATTAAATAATCAGTTATTTGAAAAATAGAATGCTAAGAGTAGCTCTGAGAAAAAAAAACCCACCAGCTTATCAAATTTTTTTTTTTTTAAAAAGAGGCCACACTTACAAGGTCCTCGTAAAAAACATTGTAACAATGAATCCAAATGCTGGTCATTAGAGAAAAATATATTTGTCTATAAAGGGTTGTCTTCGGTGTTTGATAAGGTGATGTGTCAAAGATGAATTTCTGTGTCAAGATTTCACAGAAGTTCTCAAAGTCATAATACAAGGGATCTAAAAAAAAAAAAAAAAAACCGCTTGAAACCAGAAAGATTGTACGATATGGCATAAAACAGTGTTCAGAGAATACAAGCTCTCTCTATTTCCCCAGCTGTACCAGCAGTGACACCATGCTATGTTTCAGAACCAGCACTGGACATTTGCAAACATTAAATATTGGTCATTTCAATCAGAGGAGCAGAACTTCAATTGGACATGTACAAGCAGGTGAATTCTCAATACCTTCAATTAAAGCAGTGAATCTGAGGTCATATATTTACCTGAGTCGTATATGACGTTAAATAATTACAAAACAGATTCAGAGTATGGGGTTTTTGGAAAAAGATCTTAGGAAGGCTTACCAGAGAGATAAACCCTAGTGAATTGTAGTAATTACTATGGACCCAGTATCAGACAGCTAGAATGCAAAGCTATTAGATTATGATAACCAACAATTTATTAGGTAAGAAGAATTTTGGACCATCACTGACAATGGCTTAGCGAGACCCTTAACTTCTAACTCTTACTATTGATTACCTGTAGAAGACCCAAATCTTTAGGAGATTTCTTGGTCATTTCAAGAAACAATGTTCACAGTGTTGTCTAATGAGGATAGATGTGGCTCCTTATAATATAAAGATACATTAAGGAAGATACCAGTTTCAAATCCAATGGCAAAGTACTTTATAAATGTTGCCAATTGTGATAGGAAGGTTGTAATCTACGGGTTCTGTTTAGATGTGGGGGCTACTGTATAGGCTAACACAACACAACTTTTAAAATGCATCTCTGACCATTTCTCAGATATAGCCTCTGGGAACCTACCTTTCCAGATATCCAAATATGTTTTTTTTTAATCATGCTGGTCATGCCGTTCAAGTTCTGCTCTAAATTCTTGATATAATCCAGAAATATTATGGTAGAGGAGGGGAACATAAGAGCCTGGTACAACTAGAAAGCAAGTGGATTTGTTGACTAAGATCACGTTTCACCAGGACTTAATGGGGTTGATTTACTAAAGGCAAATAGGCTGCTCACTAAGTTCACTTTGGAAAGAATACCCAGTCACATGCAAGGAAAATAAGTTACAGTATTTTTCCTTGCACACAATTGGACGATGGAAGTCAGCAGACCTTCACCTTGGTCACCAAGCTCTGGGAATAATTCCCTTGCAAAGTGCAACTTTCCTTGCAAAGTGAACATTCAATTAGTCTTTAGTAAATCAACCCCAATGGCTCTTTGCGTGTTTTCTATTAAGTAGAGAGAAGAATACTATCCTTCCTTACTTTCCATTTCTTTGCCGCTTCCCACTTCTTCCTCTTTTTTTTTCATCATGGCTATAAGGCCTGAATTTAATAAAATGGATATTTTTTGTATCGATGCATATTTTCACTTTTTATATATTTGTTTTATGCATGTGTTACATATTATTTTTTGTATTTATAGACAATTGATTTTAAATTCTTTTTTTCAACAACCCACTTCCCTTTTTCATAGTTATTTCTTGTGTTTAATTAAAGTGGTTGTAAAGGCTCAAGGCTTTTTACCTTCATGCATTCTATGCATGAAGGTTAAAAACCTTCTGTGTGCAGCATCCTCCCCCCAGCCCTCCTAATACTCACCTAAGCCCCCTCCTGATCCAGCGATGTGCACTGGAGTCTTGGCTGTCCCAGGACTCCCTCTCCTCACTGGCTGAGAGAGAAGCAGGGGCCATTGGCTTCTGCTGCTGTCAATCACAGCCAGTGAGCCAATGAGAAGAGAGAGGGGATGGGGCCGAGCCACGGCTCCGTGT